GCAGACAATGCCGTTACCATGACTGAGCCAGCAGTGGACATGAATGATGTCATTAATGATGGATGAGCTGACACCTCTCATTTACTTTGCAACCAAGCCCCTGATAAAGACAACATAAGCTAGTATGCATGTTTGTCTTCCTGAAACCTTTGCTTATTTCCCCGTTGTCTATTGTGTATAAGATCAGTGGTTCCAAATAATTGGTAGTCCCTAGAACTCCGAAGAAAGGGAGTAGGGGAGGTGGGGAGTCAGCAGCTGAATATATTTACACAAAAAAAAAAATTGAATCCCTCTTTCTTGTTTTGTTTTTGTTGTTATGAGTCTATATATATTTTTTTTCTAACTAAGTAAGACTTTCTACTGGCTCTGCACCCGCCATCATCTGTTTGTTAACTCCATTTCTCTTTATTTTGAAACAACTTATTGACAAATTCAACATCTCCTTGGTTGTTGAATTTGTTGGCCACTAGCGTCTTTGGATGTGGACCAATGGTAAACTCCAGGAATCCCATGTCTCGCAATCTTGTATATATCTGTGGAGTTAGACAAGTTGAATACACACATTATAGAGGTTTTTTGTCTGTCTGTCTGTCTGTCTGTCTGTCTGTCTGTCTGTCTGTCTGTCTGTCTGTCTGTCTGTCTGTCTGTCTGTCTGTCTGTCTGTCTGTCTGTCTGTCTGTCTGTCTGTCTGTCTGTCTGTCTGTCTGTCTGTATCTCTGTCTGTATCTCTGTCTGTATCTCTGTCTGTATGTCTTTTTTCTTTCTTTCGTTAATTTCTCATCCTCGTTCTTCTTCTGCTTGTTTCTCCTCCTTCCTCATCTTCCTCCTCCTCTGCCCTCCTCCTTCTTCATCTTTCTCATCATAATCAACATTGTCATAATTTTCCTCTTCTTCTTCTTCCTCTCCTCTTTCTCCTTCTTCTCCTGTTCACTCTACTTCTCTTTGCTCCTATTCCTCTTCCTTCTTTTTACTCTTTCTCTTCCCCTCCTCCTTCCTCTTTGTGCTGCGCGCCGCCATCAAACATTGAAAGTTAATAATAAAAGGGCCCAACCAGAAAAGGGACGAAACAAACCTCATAAATATAGACATAGTCCGACTTCAAAGGAAAGTCTGGAAACAAGTGGAACTCCAGCATGTACTGCCGTATGTGCTCGAACACGGCTGTCTCCATCATGTTGGCTAGGACCGCCCACTCGTAGCCTTCCACGTCCATCTTAAAAACATCGATCACTCTCTGAGGAGATCAAAGGATGGATGGATGGATGGATAGAAGGATGGATGGATGGATGGATGGATGGATGAATGAATTAATTAATAAATGGATGAGTTACCGAATGAACCAGTACAGGGGATCGTTCATGATGGATGTGAAGGTATAAATGGATAATAGTTGAATGGATGGATACACAGCAGAACACTGAGTACAGGAGACTGAGCACTGGACAGTTAGTTCAATAGGCAGGCACGCTAGTAGATATCTGTAGACATACATGAGTGAACTTCCGTCTGTATATCTGGCTACTTGCGTCTCTCCCTATTAGGGCTGTACCGAATAGTGATTTTCACTATTCGGCCGAATAAGAATAGTGGGACCAACTATTCGGCCGAATACGAATACGAATAGTGTATCATCATCATCAGGTGCCTTGCCGACTGGCGTGGGCGATCATGCCTCTCCACAATCTGATATCTCCTGCAGCATGTATCAGTTCGTGTGCTGACACACCTCCATGCCATGCAACAAGACTGTCAAGAATCTTCTATCGTTGTCTTCCTCTATCCCTCCATCCACAGATCTTTCCAGTTGTCACAACATGTTCTATTTCCCTCTTCTCATAACATGGCTGAAAAATGACGACTGTCTCCTTCTGATGTCTGTGATTAGTTGTCTTCGGGCTCCCGCCTCTTTCAAAACCATCGTTTGCTCGGCCGTTCGATCGATGTAATTTAAACTCACCTTCATATTCTCGTTAGCAATATCTTCAAATTTGATTTGGGCGAAGACATCCTGAAAGAACGAAAATTGCATGATCTCTCTCTCTCTCTCTCTCTCTGCCTCTCTCTCTCTCTCTCTCTCACAGACACACACTCACACACATACACACACGCATACACACATACAGTTTGTACCACGCAACCGGGTTGCAGTTTCTTCCGCTACGAAAGACTTAGGCAACAGCAACTATTGTGTTAATGAAAAAGTTATGTCGGTCCATCACAGTGTATGCAGAAATGGGAAAGGTAAGGTAACCACTATTCGTATTCGGCCCGACCACAACTATTCGGCCGAATACCGAATAGTTATTAGGTCCACTATTCGGTCCCGAAGCTAATATTCGGTACAGCCCTACTCCCTATATCTGGCTACTTGCGTCTCTAACTATATCTGGCTACTTTCATCGCTCCCTTTATCTGGCTACTTGCATAACTCACTATATCTGGCTACTTGCGAATCCCACTATATATGGCTACTTTTGTCTCTTACTTTATCTGGCTACTTTCGTCTCTTCCTATATCTGGCTATTTGCATCTCTCCCTATATCTGGCTACTTACGCCTCTCTCTATATCTGGCTACTTGCATCTCTCCCTATATCTGGCTACTTGCATCTTTCCCTATATCTGGCTACTTGCATTTCTCCCTATACCTGGCTACTTGCATATCTCCCTATATCTGACTACTTGCATCTCTCCCTATATCTGGCTACTTGCGTCTCTCACTATATCTGGCTACTTGCATCTCTCCCTATACCTGGCTACTTGCATCTCTCCCTATATCTGGCTACTTGCATCTTTCCCTATATCTGGCTACTTGCATCTTTCCCTATATCTGGCTACTTGCATCTCTTCCTGTATCTGGGCACTTGCATCTCTCACTATATCTGGCTACTTGCGTCTCTCCCTATATCTGGCTACTTGCGTCTCTCCCTATATCTGGCTACTTGCATCTCTCCCTATATCTGGCTACTTGCATCTCTCCCTATATCTGGCTACTTGTATCTCTCCCTATATCTGGCTACTTGCGTCCCTTACTATAACTAGCTACTTGCATCTCTCTCTATATCTGGCTACTTGCGTCTCTCTTTATATCTGGCTACCTGCCTCTCTCCCTATATCTGGCTTCTTGCGTCTCTCTTTATATCTGGCTACCTGCGTCTCTCCCTATATCTGGCTACTTGCGTCTCCCTTTATATCTGGCTACCTGCGTCTCTCCCTATATCTGGCTACTTGTATCTCTCCCTTTATCTGGCTACTTGCATCTCTTACTATATCCGGCTACTTGCATATCTCCCTATATCTGGCTACTTGCACCTCTCCCTATATCTGGCTACTTGCATCTCTCCCTATATCTGGCTACTTGCATCTCTCCCTATATCTGGCTACTTATGCCTCTCTCTATATCTGGCTACTTGCGTCTCTCTCTATATCTGGCTACTTGCGTCTCTCTCTATATCTGGCTACTTGCGTCTCTCCCTATATCTGGCTACCTGCGTCTCTCCCTATATCTGGCTACTTGCATCTCTTCCTATATCTGGCTACTTGCATCTCTCCCTATATCTGGCTACTTGCATCTCTCCCTATATCTGGCTACTTGCATCTCTCTCTATATCTGGCTACTTGCATCTCTCCCTATATTTGGCTACTTGCATCTCTCCCTATATCTGGCTACTTGCATCTCTCCCTATATCTGGCTACTTGCATCTCGCCCGATATCCGACTACTTGCATCTCTCCCTATATCTGGCTACTTGCATCTCGCCCGATATCTGACTACTTGCATCTCTCCCTATATCTGGCTACTTGCATCTCGCCCTATATCTGGCTACTTGCATCTCTCCCTATATCTGGCTACTTGCATCTCTCCCTATATCTGGCTACTTGCATCTCTCCCTATATCTGGCTACTTGCATCTCTCCCTATATCTGGCTACTTGCATCTCTCACTATATCTGACTACTTGCATCTCTCCCTATATCTGGCTACTTGCATCTCTCCCTATATCTAGCTACTACTTGCATCTCTCCCTATATCTGGCTACTTGCATCTCTCCCTATATCTGTGAGATCTTTGAGCTGATATGCTATAGAGCAATTTTTAGAATACCATGGACCAATACGAAGAAGAAGAAAAAAAAAAAAAGAACGTCGATATCCTAAATGACTTGAACATCAAGGTGAACTCTCCCATAAACAGCATCCTCTCCAGAAAGTTTAGATATTTTGAATATGCCAAGCCCCATAGAGCTCTTGAAAGATTAGAGATGGAAGGTGGATATATGATATTGAAAATGCATCGGTATGAAAGCATATAGGGCTGGAAAACTGGCTTAAAAGAGAGACTTTCCGTAGTATCGTGAAGAGAGCGACGTTCTTGAAAGAACCTGCCAAGTGAGTGAATGTTCTATAGAAAAACCAAAATGTGCGAGTGCTTACAAGATCCGGAAGCCGGCACTCACCACAATGTGTCTCTTACAGCAGAGCTTAACCATGATGCCCTAGAAAGGTGCTGATACTGCATACTGTCTATAAACAACCCTGATTATTAGGTACTTTAATAATGGATAAGGTCCCTACAGACCTGCCCCCAACCCCACATACAGTCACAAACACCCTAAAGATGGCTGTAAGCTCTCACGCTAAGTCCTAGTCGTTCGTCCATATTTACTTTAGCTTGGTACTAGGGTCTGAATTTCGGGTGTACCACCGTTTTACTAGCTTATTTGTGTGCAGTTGTTTGTTTCTTGCCGCTCGGACGGACGCATAGCGACTTTGAAGAAAGCTACCAGTTAGTTGACTGTAATGACATACTTGTTGGGGAGGTAGTGAGTCCATTCTTATGTCCCCACAATGGTTCCCAGGAACCCAAATGGGTAGACCTGGTTTTGAAAATACTTCACTACTTAATGAGCCAGCAAACTACATCTTGATCTGTGTTGTTTATCGATTTGCCAGGTCCCAATAACCACAAACAACCACACGGCCTCGATTTAACATGAATTCTTACGTTTTCATGGCCCAACTCTTGCATGATAGATTTCACAGTTCTCATTTTCCACAACTGATTATTCTTGACGTACATGTCTGAACGGGGGCTGTACGCGTTGGTGTTGTAACTGCCTAATCCCATGTTGTGGAATGTCGAGAGAGGCCCCCTCTTGTGGTCTTGCAGTTTCATG